CATCCCACTGGACCGTAGCTTGAGCTAGGCAAATATAGTCCACGCTCTTCCCGTTTTAATATTATCACCTTCTCTACGCCTAGGTTTTCTTAATGTACAACCTCCGGTCAGAAACCCACGTGAATTTATAACTTCTGAGAAAAAGGCAACCCGTAATTAAGCAGACGAGCCACAAACGTGAGATGGACACGGTATGTAGCACGCATAGAGAGACGCCACATGTATGTATGCGCACACTTTGGGCCGGAAACCCGAGAGGCACAAGCACAGATAAGAAGAAATACTACGATGGACCTTAAAAGCAAGGCCGGGAATTTCCCCAACAAGTGACCCCACGGAGTTAGCACGGACAGCCTGACGCCTTCATTCGCTGTGTTATAACGAAATTCAAGGAACAGTCGGCATCTGAGCAGAAGCAAATTTCCGGAAAACTGTAACACAGAACCTAAAGATCCCGGAGGGAATTACAGTTGGGGCCAAAAGCCTCCATCTTCAGGCAGAGCGCACGGCGTCACGGCCCATAATGCAACAATCTAAACAGAATTTGAGGTTCTCACACCGCTGAACGCAGTGTAGTCCGCTGAGAGTCAACCGACGTTTCGGAGGAATATATCACCACCATCTTCAAGGTTGAATAGCAACAAAAACAAGAAACTAGCATGAAACGGAAGCAAGCAACCGGGACAGCTCCCTTCAAACAGCGTTTCAGTTCACCACTCGCCGCCAGTATTTTCTCAACACGACGAGGATGTGAAGTCCGAACAGGGCTGACTGACGGGTCCTCCTGCGTCTGCCTAGGCAAAGTGCGGTGGAAATTATTCACGTGTGGAAGCACGCCTCTGACATATAGGATGATGCAGCGACACTGTGACTTGGCAGCCTGACGGTGGGGCCCGCCCTGTCCTGCGTTCAGTTCGGGGAACGCCGGGCACCCATCTGCTTCTTCTTCTGCAGATATAGATTATGCCTCAGCCTGTTTCGACTTCTAAAGGAAACGTAATTTTCAAGGTAAAAACGTAAAGATTAAAATACACCAAATTATAATTTTATCCGATATTGTGTATGGGTGTCGAACTTAGACTGTCATGGTAGAACAAGCAAACAGACGAAGGGTTTGGGGAGCGAGGAGGGCAAACGTGACAGTACACTGCGGGCCTCCATAATTGACACCACGCCTGGGGTACAGCAGGCATAGGACAGAGATGAGAAATGCCTACAACATTTTGCTGGGGAATCCTCAAGTGAAGCGATTACTTGTGAAACCAAGTATAAATGCAAGGAAAATATTAATATCGATCTTAGAGAAATAGTGTGGGAGAGTATAGACTGGTTTCAACTGGCTCAGGAGAGGGTACGAAGTGGGGGCGGGGGTTCTTATGAACACGGTGAGGTACATTCGGGTTACACAAAAGGCCAGGTGATCGACTACCGACTACTCATGAGAGACCCGGCTCCAGGGAATCTGCACACATCCCACACCCGACACGAGTCTAGGAAGATTTACGCTGGCGTTTTTGTAACAACTGACATCACAGTATTCTTTCTACGTTCCCTCCGAGCCGCAGAGAGGCTGAGGTCAGCAGCTGAACTCTTCAGCACGTGCCCAGTGGCACTTACAGGACGCCAGACGAAGCGGTTCTCTTCGCTTTCAACTCAGCCAAGTGCACCTGGCACATCGGCATTTTTGTGTTGCGTACGGTTCTTTTTTTTTATTGCTAGTGGGTGGGACTAAGTCCCTTGTACTGCGGCCACTTCTGGTCTCTTGTACCAGCCCCAGATGATAGGTGAAGGTGATTGTGGAGCAATTGGTGGAATGAAGATTGGCAGGGGAAACTGAAGTACTCGGAGAAAACCCGCCCCAGCGCCACTTTGTCCACCACAAGTCCCACTTGACCAGACCCGGGATCGAACCCGGGCCGCCGCGGTGGGAAGCCAGCGACTAACCGCATGAGCTATGGCACGGCCTTCGTACGATGCTTACTCACAGAAGACACGGATTTGTGTCTCGACTATAAAACTCAACCAGTCAAATTCTGTGTTGATATGTACACGTACTAGTTTCTTGTGGGACTCATATGGAACACACGCACAGTGCGGACGGAACGTCCTTAATCAGATACGCCAAAGAAGTAAAAGGGAATATGAACACTGAAAAGCAAACTGCAATAAGAGTCTGAGGATGACGCTCCCAGCATCGGCCCTACGTCGCGGCCGGTGGATCCGGGGCAGTTGGCAGAACGGAAACTGGCACGAGAAATCGCATCCCTCCACAAATAACACATAACCTGAACTGGGATCGACTAACCGCCTCAACTATGAACACACTGCTTCGATTTACAGGAGCTAGACTGCCCTGGCCTTTGTCAGCAGAGGCTCTACCAACTGACTGTAATGCGTCAGCATCCCCCCTAAAGCAGCTGCAACCCTGAGGCCTGCACTCAACTTGCATTTGTTACTGGCACCCTGGTCACGTGACGACATGGCTTAGCATATCTGGAGGTCGCGAGGCCCTCCCTAGCGGGGCAGAGGCCCCCCCACTGACAGTTTACTGTCACTATGTTTCATTTATTTAAAGCTTATTTAACGACTGCCTGGACCACAAGTCGCTTACATCTGACAATGGAAGTACACAGACATTCCGACATGCACCGTTTTGGAGAAAAAATCTCCAGTGACCACTGCAACACGTCAACATCTGGCCACATCTGGACTTAGCTTCAGATATGACCTCTCGAGTCTTGTCTAACACGCGTGATACACGTCAGTAATGGGACGCCTGCCCCCCGAGAGCGTGACGCACGTCCGCATCGTCATAATGTATTACATGGAAACACGTTGCAGGTAGATCCGCTGATGAATGACAGATGATTTTACAGAGTCATTAATCAATCGTAATTGTACGCGATATGCAGAAGGCTGTTGGGGCACACAAAGGGAACCGCGAAGAATGCAATGCAGTACATCAAGTCATTGTCACGCGGCAATTAATCTCGACACAGATCTGCGTCATGAGACAATGCAAACCGGTCGCTCAGCCACACAACGACGCGACTGGGGCAGCATGCCTTCAACATTCACCATAGATGGCTTCATAACTGCGTCACGAATGTGAAAATAGCGTCAGGGCGTCTAAACACGTGGACACAAACTTAGCAACACATGGTAGGTGAACCCATCCCTGTAACAGGCCGTAGAGGCCCATAAAGTTGTGAGACGTCGAGGCGCCAACATTTTCATTAGACAATCGGCTCACAGATGGCGGTGATGCTGTTAGCCTTACACGCCGGCCGCCCTTTACCCCCAGCAAGGTTCCTGGTACTAATTTCTGTAAGAGGCTGAGTCGACCCCAGGGCCATAGGGCGGCTGGAAGGAATAAGTCAATTAGAAAATCCAATGACCTCATCGGGAACAGAACCCGAGACTTTCCGGCTTGTAGGATAGTGCCCCAACCAAGTACACTACCACGTGCCCCTCTGCAAATGAAATTCAGACGACCCCCCCCCCCAAAAAATAGTCTGCACAGAGCAGAAAACCTGGGCTCAAACTTCCAAGCACATGTAACACTTCTCAGCATCACTGAATTACATAGCAGTTGCTGCTTAATTTGAGAACGGAACGAAACCACATGATACGCGGGAAATATCAATTTTCTAGTCTCGTTGCCAGGCGACCATAACAGGTTTTCGCTGCACCGCAGTTTCGTTGCTTGGCGACCGTTTACACTGGCGGCAGTAATATGGCAAGTAGGCCCATTCAGAGAGGCCTGTCGCAAAACTTCATTACATGCACTGCATGACGCGTCAGGCTAAACACGTTCTTTCCGTTACCAAATAAATGGACAACTATGAAGAAATCCGTCATGTTTCACGGTACTAGTCCAGAATTTTCTGGATCCTGACGGCAAAGCCATGAAAGGATTGAGTACGTCAAGGGTTCGCAGTGCTACCAAAGCAACAAAGTAAATGCACTCTGTATGTGGAGGACAACGTGACGCTTAGACATCGCTAGTGGGGAAACTTTTCGAAAGGCTTCTGATTGGTCTGTCGGGTTTACTGGCATTTTGAACTTGGTCCAGTAATTGAGGTTAGCTTTCTATTTTAACTAACCCCAGATATCAGGTTGTGTTGTTCAGAATACCGGACGATGGACAAAGTCCGAAAACCCAGCAATCCTGAGGGCCACCAGAAAGTTTTAGAATTTTCTGACTGACCCAGTTGGGTAGGACCCAGCTTCCGAAACTGTGGGCACGTGATGATACTGTCAGTATCTCAACTGTCTCGTCCAATGGCGGGATAAGGATAAACGTCAGTCAGGACAGCCGGTGGCCTGACCGAGATTCGAACCCAGCAATTCCTCAATAGGATTGTGGAGCGTTACCGCTAAGCCAACCCGCTTGATATTGCCTATGTCACATATCCTCCCCCCACCCCACCCAAAATAATGACTGCAGGGGCCCGGCGTGTGCGCGAAGCATTTGCGGGCCACCACGTTATCTGGGCTTTAGTCGCGAGCCAGAAGCACAGAGACACCGCACACAAGCACATCCGTCCGCAAGGAACAGTACCGTCTCCTGAAGACTTACGCATGGAGGTACAGCTCCATCGCTTCTCTTAATATTGGTACGTGATGGAGGCCAGATCCTAGACAAAGGAGCTCTCGATGCAGTTTGTAAGACAGACACCCGTGTGGATCCCAGAAGCGGCTTGGACGCTGTGGAGAGCAGATAAGCCCGTTGGCCCAGCAGAGAAACAGGTACACACACGCACCATGCCCAACTCTAATGGGGTTTCAGTGCTATAGACGCGATCTGAACCAGTTTGTGGTTCAGTGATATAGACGCGATCTGAACCAGTTTGTGGTTCAGTGATACAGACGCGATCTGAACCAGTTTGTGGTTCAGTGAACGAGTCCATTTAAGACTGGAGCTACCAACATCTACGATATTACGCTGTGTAGTCTGGTAGTTCACCGACGTTTCGGAGAAGCGTAGCTTGGCTTACCTGTACCGGATGGCGGTGTGGTAAGCCGTTCTCCAGGAAACAGCGCCACCACGGCTCCAGCCCAATTCCTCTGACGTCACGTGTGACACGTGACCCCCAGTCCGAGTGACGTCACTCGTCACTACGCCATCTCACGGCAGGAGCAACTCTCTCGCTGCCATGACAATGGGAAACTAACACCGCCACACTGCAACAGGAGCAAGTGATGATAATATTAAAATGGTCCTCGGGAAGTACAGATCTGTAAAAGTATATTTAATTCGGTGAATTATTATAGTGATCAAATTTAAAACGATGAAATGTGCGAGGCATTTAGCATGCATGGAGATACGTAAGACATTCATATAGCATTTGGCTCAGAAACCTGAACAGAAGAGACAACAATTAAGTGCGGGGGGGGAGTAATGTTAAAAATGGTATGAAACAGGATATGTGGATAGCGGTCCTTCTGGCAGGCGGAACAGGAACAAGGTGTGCTAGATGGCCTAACAACGATTTGTTAGCAACCCCATAGCGCTGTCTGGCGGCAGGAAGTGAAACGCTTTCTGCGCAAAGAACGCCAGTGACAGTGGTATGTAAGGTATTTAATTACATTGAGTTTTAATTTCAAAGGGTTGCATTATAATTACAGTCTTCATGGCTGTGTGCAAGACCAAAAAAAGAGAATTCTTACTGGACCAGTTACAGAACACACCCTTTGCCCCGTGAAGTTCGCTGTCTTTTGATCAGTCCACCTCAAAAACGAAAGCAGGGAGGTTTATTATGGAATTCTGAAGCAATTCTCTCGCCGTTTACCCTATTCGCCCCCATTCAAGATTGCAGTGAGTATAACAAGAAAACTAATTAACAAACGCTCCCACAAAACACAAGACAGTTTTGTTACGACGTGACACTGCTATCCAATTACGTGCTGGCTCCCTCCCTTTCTTCTGTGAACGTAAACTGTCGTTTTAAATTGGACTCAAGGTTCTCACAGTGACGACTATATTCCGGGATATGACGCCGTGTAGTTCGGTAAAGTTCACCCACGTACGTTTCACAGGCTCAAGGAATAAGAATCAATCAGTAAGCTGAATGTCTCAGTCCCTGAAGATAGAGGCGGTACGCCACATAACAGCACTCCGCACGTCCTTCCAGACCTCGTCCAACATTCCAGTTTTATAAAACAACACATTTCGTGGACTTCTATTTCCTTCATCAGGTGAACCGGTGAAGCTTAACATTAATGCGGGCCGCAGCCCAAGCGGGGTACTTCAGGTGAACACTTAAACATAATTAAAACGAAAGAGATGAGGTTTTCGCGTGGATAAGATTCACCCTGTGCGGTGTCATGTAGCCCAGAAGATCACGTACGAATATTGAAACCAAACAGTGTGTAGCCTCTGCCACAAAACTTAACGTGGAACACGAAACACAGCGTGTACAGTGTACACCGTACACGATCACTGTGCTTTGTAAACAAGTGAGCGAAAGCGCCAGACTTGTGACGCTTTGTGGAGGTGTACTACTGGCCGGCACTTCCAACATTTCCCAACTTTACAGCTTCAGCTGCCCTGCCAGCATTTGCATAGGTTCATTGTGCCTGACGATTTCGTGCACAAGAAAGGGCAAAGCAAACAGGGGCAGAGCGCGTGGCAAGCCGCCTTGTGGCCAGACTGTGCAGTTTGCCGCTCTCTGTTGTCACTTGGTAGTTCACTGCAAGAAAACTCGCTGCTTTCCTGAGAAGCACGGGCTGAATTTCTTCTAAATGATGTATACACATTCAGTCCGCACCTCACAGGAAACATTACGTCTCCGCTACAAAGTCCAACCGGTTAATGCTGCTTAGGGAAACAGTCGCTGTTTATTGTGAGAATCATGCGGACCACACAGACACATTGTATGGGCAGTGTACAGATTTTTAGTACGTTAAAGCGGGTGGTAAATATAATAACCGCTGGGTTTTAAGGAGTTAAAAGTACTCTGACGAGGGAAAGGGGCTCTCTCATGCCCCCATCCCCAATCAAGGCCATAGCTTGAGGCTCCTCAAATTTAACTGTAAACAGAAGCGACTGTTTCCCTAAACAGCATTAACCGGCTGGGCTCTGTAGCGGAGACATCGTAATGTTTCCTGTGAGGTACGGACTGAACATACTAAAACTCTGCATTCTGCCCACACAGTGTCTGTGTGTTCCGTGTGGTTCTCACAGTAAACAGCGACTGTTTCCCTAAGCAGCATTAACCGGTTGGGCTCTGTAGCGGAGACGTAATGTTTCCTGTGAGGTACGGACTGAACATACTAAAACTCTGCATTCTGCCCACAGAGTGTATGTGTGTTCCGTGTGGTTCTCACTGTAAACAGCGACTGTTTCCCTAAACAGCATTAACCGGTTGGGCTTTGTAGCGGAGACGTCGTAATGTTTCCTGTGCGGTACGGACATAACTTTTAAATATTATTTAAACGAATTTCGCACTTTACATGGTCCCGAAGCTCATACAATGAACGAAAGCAGAGTGAAGTGACCGCATCTGTCCATGCGGACATTGCAAAGGAAGGAAGGAAGGAAGGAACAATCGGACGCCCGCCTATCCATCAAGCCTACCAGACACAAATACAATAGGGCATCAGTGATACAGATGTGGCACCTCGACGCCCCAATGCGTCGGTAATTCGTACGACGACCCCAACACGGCGCCAGCCTACCGCTCAATACATGGCAAGGCGCATCACTATAGCGAATCGGTGAAAATGAACGCGTGAGGCGAGTTCGTGGGTGCTTGATCGTCACTCTGTCTGCTTGCACGCAACAACTGAGTAAGTTCATTTTTGGTTCCCGTCGGTCAAACAAAGGCTGCATGAGGCTGAAGCCCAGGTTTGTATAGATCTTCCCAGGAAGGGCCCACGGCACAGACAAACAAACAATACGCAGCTCATTACGGCCCGCAACATCTCTAATATGGCGAACATTTAACAGGGAAAGTTTTATTGGAAATGGTACAATAGAAGCTAATGCGACTGAATCAACCAAGGCACGTGTGTCTGTGGGCGCGTTGCCATAGCAGCGAATTTCGGAGCCTTCACATGTGGCAAGTTTCAGACGCATCCAGGCCTACATACAATTAGTACAAGCAGGGCGAAGTCTGACGGCTTGTCGTTGTGTCGTTTCCAAGGAAACCACACGCAAAACTAATCCCGGTTAATTAGGGCAGGGCAGTATTTCAGTCGGTAATACAGTGCCCAACTTCCCCGACAAGACTATGAATATTATTCTGCCAAACGGTGTTTCCAGATAGTTTCAAGTTTATTGCGTGGATATCAATAAAAATGTGACCTAAGAATGCCCCCCCATAGTGTATGAGTGGCTCAAAGGAAGGGTTGTCTGCGCAAAATGCAGCTGGAAATGCAAACTCTCAAAATTTCCCTTCGAATTTTCAACGGGACATTAATTTAACGTATTATTGTCCTGATACGTGTCAACTAATCAACAAACTCCTCCTTTAAAAGCTGACAGTCGCTCAGACAGACAAGATGATCCAGCCACTTCCTGTATTCTCCTCTTGTTCCCCCTCCCTCTCTTCTTATCACCCTGTTGCCAAACACCCTCAATCTGTGTTCTTCCTTCAATGCGAGATCAAACTTCAAACCCAGGCACATATGAATCCTGCTGTGCATATTCAGCAGCATATCATAGTATATGTATACACCTGATGATTGTCAACCAATATAGCAATAAACAGATTGATCTATTCACTTCAATCGCTTATTATATATATATAAAGTAAAGTTATCCCTGGAACAGGCCGTGGAGGCCCACAGGGTTGTGAGATGTTGAGGTTCCCACATTTTCTAGACAATCGGCTCAAAGATGGCGGTGAGGTTGTCAGCCCTACGCGCCGTCTGCCCTTTACCCCCAGGAAGATTCATGGTACTCATTTCTGTTGGAGACTGAGTCGAACTCACGACCTTCCGGCTTGTAGCATAGTGCCTCAACCAATTACGTTCGGCAGTAGATGGAGGTGAGTGGGCAGCTTCGCACCCCGGGTACCCAGTGGATAGGACGAAGCCTGCCCCTCAAGCAATGTGACCCTAAAGAGGCTGGGGCCCCGTGTACAACACGAGACAATCCGAATGAAGCTGAATTACTGCACGTCTGTCAGTCGAGCAGGTCACAGCAATGCCCGAGGTTCAGAGTCCGGGCTCTGGGGAATCCTTACAGAGACTACATGGCAACCAGAGCCCTTTGTACTACACTGGACTTCTGCCAGGATCACCCGGGGGACTGTGCCCCCGTGTACTGTCAGTACGAAACTGAGCACTCTATTCCACCCCTCAACCTTCCCGTAGTTCCACCCCGCCTCTGGCAAAATCAATAAAGTGGACGGGATGGCACACACCAGGGCTGGAGGCATTGCTCCCAGCCTCCACGCCTCACATGTTGTTATTCTCACGTTTCGAAACAGAAATATGTGCTGGCATTCGGATGGATCCCAGTTCACTGTGCTCACTGAGGCTCACTACTGCGCCTTGCTCATCGCTTTATGCATTGCATCTGAAATCAGCTTGCTTACTGCGCATTCTCTTCGCACAGCAGCCACGTCACGTCACGTGTCAGTCAAAAATACAGCTTGGCGCAGCACTCAACTTATACACATTTACAAATACTGCACAGTGTTTCCCAGGCAGTGCTCTCATCGTAATCGGGAGGTATTCGGTTCGAATCTCGGCTGGGACAACGGCTATCCTACTGAGGATTTGTGTGAATTCCCTCAGCCTCCCCCTCAGGAAAATATCTCGAACAGGCCAAGACAGCTTCCTTCGAAATCCTTATTAATTCATCAGTCACCCCACCATACTGAGCGCGTCGCTAAGCAACGCACTGAACAAACGCAGGCTGTCTGAAGAAGCCCCAAGCGGCGTGGCCTCACAAGAGGTTACGTTATAGTTCTCACCCGCTTCATGCCTGAAGCTCACAGAAAGCACACAAAGCCCCAATCAGTTAGTGCTCTTTAGCGGTTTACTGTGACGCAGAGTGCGGGCTGCCACATACCGTCGCCACTGTCCCCCCGAGCATTCTCCTCACTGCAAACAACACATATGAGCACACACAAGCTCGTACCATATCACTTCACTTCAGGATGAGTTTCGAAGGACTCAGCTGCCTCCATCTTCAGGAGAGACTGGCCGCTCTGTCTCTTCAGCTCTCTCAA